CCAAAAAAATACAAAGAACTATTAGAGAACACTATTAAAACCTATATGCTAACAAGCTGGAACACCTAGAAGAAATGGACTTCCTAGAAAAATACAACCTTCCAAGACTGACTAATGAAAAACAGAAAATTTAAACCAACCAATTACTAGTAAAGAAACTGAAGCAGTAATCAAAAAACTACCCAGGAACAAAATCCCAGGGCCAGATAGATTTACCTCGGAATTTTATCAGACATAAAGAGAAGACATAATACCCATTCTCCTTAATGTTTTCCAAAAAATAGAAGAGGAGGGAATACTCCCAAACTCGTTCTAAGAAGCCAACATTTCCCTAATACCAAAACAAAGCAAAGACTCCACCAAAAATGAAAATAACAGACCAATATTCCTGATGAATGTATTATGCAAAAATACTCAACAAAATATTAGCAAACCGAATTCAAAAATACATCAAAAGGATCATACACCATGACCAAGTGGGATTCATCCTGGGAAGGGAAGGGCGGCACAACATTCGATAATCCATCAACATCATCCACCACATCAACAAAAAGAAAGACAAAAACAACATGATCATCTTCATAGATGCTGAAAAAGCATTTGACAAAATTCAACATCCACTCATGATAAAAACTCTCAGAAAAATGGGTATAGAGTGCAAGTACCTCAACATAATAAAGGCCATGTATGATAAGCCCACAGACAATATCATACTGAAGAGCAAGAAGCTGAAAGCTTTTCCACTGAGTTCGGGAACAAGACAGGGATGCCCACTCTCCCCACTGTTATTCAGCATAGTACTGGAGGTTCTAGCGATGGCAATTAGACAAACCAAAGAAATTCAAGGAATCCAAATTGGTAAAGAAGAAGTTAAACTGTCACTATTTGCTGATTACACGATATTGTACATAAAACACCCTAAAGCCTCCACCCCAAAACTACTAGAACTGATATTGGAATATAGCAAAGTTGCAGGATACAAAATTAATACACAAAAATCTGTGGCTTTCCTATACACTTACAATGAACCAACAGAAAGGGAAATCAGGAAAACAATTCCAATCACAATTGCATGAGAAAGAATAAAATACTTAGGAATAAACCTAACCAATAAAGTGAAAGGCCCATACCCTGAAAACTGTAAGGCACTCTTAAGAGAAATTAAAGAGGACACTAGCGAATGGAAACTCATCCTATGCTCTTTTCTAGGAAGAATTAATATTGTCAAAATGGCCATCCTGCCAAAAGCAATATACAGATATGATGCAATCCCTATAAAATTACCAACAACATTCTTCAATGAACTGGAACAATTAGTTCAAAAATTCATATGGAAACACCAAAGACCCCGAATAGCCAAAGCAATCCTGAGAAGGAAGAATAAAGTGGGGAGGATCTCACTCCCCAACTTCAAGCTCTACTACAAAGCCACAGTAATCAAGACAATTTGGTACTGGCACAAGAACAGAGCCACAGACCACTGGAACAGATTAGAGACTCCAGACATTAACCCAAACATATATGGTCAATTAATATATGATAAAGGAGCCATGGACATACAATGGGGAAATGACAGTCTCTTCAACAGATGGTGCTGGCAAAACTGGACAGCTACATGTAAGAGAATGAAAC